GGGGTTTCTCCAGCCAGCTCCGGCTTCCTATTCCATTAGAGGACGGACCGTACAACCAGGGGTTTTGGGGTAGGGAATCTTGGGGTTTTTGGGGGTGTGGAACTGGAAGTTGGTGGAAGGGAGGAATCGGAGAGAGAGCATTTTCTAGAGAGAGAAAGAGAGGAGAGAGAGAGTTTTAGAAGTTGAAGAGGAAAAGATTCATTTTTGTGGGGCAGTCGGAGGAGGGAGATGGGAGACTGGCAAACCGACAAGCGCGCGGTGGAGAAACCAAACGAGCACTCGGTGGGGGAACGGAGAGAGAGACCGGTGAACGAAGAGAGAGACCGGCGAAAGGAGCCTGGGAAGATTGCTTCGGACGGAGAGAGGAGACAGAACGAAGCCCGAGAAGAGAGATAACAGAGAGAGCAAAGGAGGAGAGAGGGGACAGAACGGAGAGAGGGGAGATGAGAACAGGAGCAGATCTGAAAATGTGATTATCAGGTGGTAAATTTGAGATTTCATTGGGGGTAAATTTGAGAATAAAAAAAATTTCATTAAACTCTCAAACCGATTCCCGCATAAGTTGGAAGCAGAATCAGCCTTTAGACTGATGGCTGATTCTGCTTTTAGCTTCAGATTGTTAACAAATTGTTCAAAAATCTATTTTCGTGCGTTTTACTAAACGGTTTTATCAACTTTAGCTTCAACTATAAGTGCTTTTTCCCTCCCAGAATCAATACCAAATTGAGCCGTTGTGTAAGAGCTTTTTACTGTAGTAAAAAAGTTAGATGTGACTGTTTTTGAGAGCTTTTTACTGTAATAAAACTCGAATTTTAAACTCGAATCAGCGAAAAAAATAGGACCATAATTTTGTTTTTATTAGAAAATTATTTTTAAAATTATTTTAAGATCGATTTTAAAATTATATTTAATCAATTTTTAAGAGATTATTTTGAGTATAATAAAAAAAAAAATTATTCTTATTATTTTATTTTTATTTTTATTTATAAAATATTTATTAAATGAACATCGTTTTATTTTATTTTTTATTTTTTATTTTTCAAAATATATAAAAACCGTTTCTGAAAACGATTTCAATCAGGCATAAAGCATTTCCGATACTTTTTGTTGTTGCTCTCGACCCCATTTGTACTTTATAGAAAAGGTTATAATGTGATGAGGACGTGTTATTATTGCAACCAGCACTGTGTGAGACTGGAAGCCACTTGCAAAAGTATTTGAATATTTGTGAATTTTGATGTCTGACCTGGTAAACTCCGTCGTGCCCCAACAGTGCACGACTCAACTGGGGACATCTTTTTCAGCGTTTTTCATCTCACGATGCATGGAACAAGGAAATTAACAAATTTGTTATCATAGTCATAATGCATGAAGTTACATCGTTAACAATTAAAGTTACAAGTTTAGACATGATCAAATGTATTAATTTAAAATCCGTTATTATTAGCATGGCTTAAATCTCTAGTCAAGATTAGGCTGAGGTTTCGAGCCTAAAAACTTATTCAGTCCATGAACTTTTTTTTATAAAAATAACTAAAAATGCCTTATAAAATTCTGAGTTGGTCTTATCCAATCCTAGATTTGTCGTGCTTTATGGTTTAAAATTTCAATTCGGGTCGTTAGGCTTAGGCCTTATTAGGTCAGGTAGCCCAAACTTTCAACTTCTCCCCTAACAAGACCTAAAGATTCTTTAGAAGAGCTTCTATTTTTTTTTTTTTTTTTATAAATTAAAAAAGTTTTCTTGTCGTTTGGTCTTATTTTTCTTTTGCAAGCATTTATATTGCTCAAAGGGTGTATTTTGAAGTCCTGTGACTGTACTAGGACTCGATAGATGTGCTGACCCACAATTACAAGCAAAAGGAAACAAAGATTGTTCATACACAAAAGAAAACAGAGAATTATGTAGTAACATTTGAAAAATACCTTGTAATTAAAATATTTTTAACCATCAAATTGTTTTTGTTGGTTTCTCAAACCGGATTTTCAAAAAAAATTGTGCGGAAACGTGATATCGATCGAATCACATAAATCAAAATTTAATTCGATCATTATTTTATGTCAATTTAACTACAAAGATATTAAAGAAAGGATTGAGGATTTGACCATCGTTCGATTATGACGGAAATCTTGAACTCTTCTAACACCGTCTTGAGCTCTTAAATTCCAAGAACACCACGGTTCTTTCTCAATGTATCTCCGGATTAACGTGAACTCGAACGTGTGGGCGTTCTAATGGGTTTCTCAACACATGAGATGGATGAATATGGAAACCACCTATAGTTATCACTTACTTTTCTCAAAAGTATATGATGGCACTCAAGAAATTTTATTTGGTTTTCTTTTGTGCTCCCGTTCTTTCCTTTTTCTTTCTTTCTATTCTCTCGGAAAAAAAACTTTTTCGTTCCTATTCTTAAAAACAGAACTCATTCCGTTTTTGAGTAAATGTGCAACCGCACATTTACTCCATTTGCTCATGGTGAGGAAACGTGCAACAGCATGTTTTCTCCCACTCCCCTTTTTTTTTTTTTTTTTTTTTGAGGAAACGTGCACATGCACGTTTCCTTCCTTTTATATATATATATATATTAATGGGGGAGAAGAGGGAAACGTGGAGAAAGAAAAAAAAATCTCTCTAAATTCATCCATATTAATTTAAAACAATTTTAAATTAATTTTAATATTAATTAATCAAATTAATTAATATGTGTATTTAGAATTCTCAATTCTATATTAACAATCATAACCCAATATGATATATTCAGTTCACATTAATCTTATGGAGCCATTGAGAGGAACTATGGACATTATAATTTTAAGCTTGTTCACGGAATTTGTGTTGTCCATTGATATAGTCAGTACATACGAATTAATCCTCCATAAACGGTTCATAATTAAAGCTAGGTATTTTTCGTTAACCTCTTTAATTATATCTTTCTCCATAAGTACCATTGATCCTAATGAATAATATATTTTATGATCCAATCATAAAATTGAGCGCTCTCATTATTCAAGTCCCGAATCAATACTTATGGGAACCATCCATCTACTTCATTATGAAGGAATGAATTTCATCTTGTAAATTAATATTCCCGGCTATTTATTTTACTATGCTCCTAATATATCAAGACTTTGACACTATTCACATGTGTCATTACTCAATATGTCAAAGAACATAATATCATAAATAGGAGTTTATTAATTACTCAGAATTAAGATTAATATATATATGACCATCATTGATTAACATTGAATACTCTATTTAATAACGGAATTTATTAGAGATTCATAATTAATCGCGTTCTGGTCCTATGTAATCATATTACATAAAATGCTTTCATTCCAATAATCTAATTATTAACAATCTAGGATAATATTGTTTCATTCAGAATGTAATGAACCGCATTAGTAATTTTAAATTAAAGATTCTAACTTTAATTTATAATTACGGACAAGTTTAGATTATTTTATTTCAAACATTATCCTCTGCATATAATTATATACAATGTTTAAAGTTACATCAAAAAATAATCTAGGGATTTTGATATTTATAAAACATCACATGTATGCAAAATAATATTTAAAAAATTCCCATTTCATTGATAATTAGCAAAATATTTACATTTTATTTAATTTATGGGCATATATCCCAACAGTTTTCACATTTTGTTGATTCACCGTACCTTTTGTCTGATACGATCCAAATAATATGATGCAATGGTTCAAATTTGAGTATTGCTAGTAGGATTTTCTACATTCTCTCCCTTTATATTTTAACTTAAGAAGAAAACGACTATAAAAGAACGACACATAACTAAATAGGTATCACACCTTCTTACTAGCAACTCATTTCCCTCATTTAACTTCAGCCAATTAAACTTTAATATAAAATTAGATCCAATACTATTTATAAAATCTATTTATCCATCGGCATCAAATTTTCATATGTAAACAAGGCTCATAAATTTTTTTTTTATTTTTTTTAAAGTAAGTATGGTATTTTTGGATCTGCACTACGCTTTCTACTACATAGAAAAAATAAAAAATTTATCTTTGATAGTGCATTAATTTTGGCTTTTATCCTTTCTCTTAATAAATACTATTTTTTAATGTAATTATTTACCTAAAAAGGTTATGAATTAGGAATAAATTATAAAAATTATGACCCGTGTACTTTTAAAAGGTATTTATAAAGATTATCCATACTACATTCATGGATAAAGCCCATTGTTTTAAAAAAGAAACTTATATTTGAATCCAGCACTGTAAAAAGTATATCCTTTACATTCCAACAAAAGAAAGAGGGACCTTATCTAGTACGCTAATATACTGATAAGACAAGTTTTCTATTTGTTAGATCTGCATAAAATTACGTAAAAGTTAAAGAGTACGCAGATCCAATGGTTAAAAAAACTTGACCTGCAAGTATGCTAGGCATACCAAAGAATCTCTCAAAGAAAAAAATGAAAAATGAGACAAATACCCTTCAAAATGCACGAGTCTTAGATTTTTACGTTTTACACTTTGATTAATACCCTTTAGTAAAAAAACTATATTAGTCAAAATGATATTAATCAAAAATAAAAAATAAAAATCATATAACAATACATTTAGAGAGTGAGTTCACTTTTTTTTTTTTAAGTAGCACTCTTCTAATTCCCTTCTTCTAATTCACCAGGCCAACCTGAAATATCTAATTGGGAAGTTCTTATAAATACTACTTGAAATGGAGCCATTTTTATTTTTATCCTTTAATATTAGCCTATACATTTATATTTTTTAGACTAAAACTAATTAAAAGATAATTTTTTTAAAAGAATATTTTTAACAAGTACTTAAAATCTGTAATTTTTATTTTTATTTTCAAAAGAATTGGGCCTTCTAACCCAACTACTGCTATTCGTGAATGGACTTAAAAATGGGCCTCTTAGGTTTGTAATGAGCTACATCTTATAGCTCAATCCCTTAAAATGGCGTAGTAATGAACAATCAGTTGGCTTTTTAGCGCCTTATCTTCAATTCTCTGCTTCTCTCTCTCTTCAGTTTTCCAAGCTTTTGGATATCTTCTTCATCCATGGCCATTAGAATCCAAAATCCCAAACCGTCCATTTCCATACACCCCACAATCACTCCTTTCAAAACCCACTTCAATTCTCACAACTTGTTCATCACCATTCCTCCGAGAACTGGTGTCCTCCAAATCCAACCCCCGTCTCTCTCAATCACCAGAAGATCGTTCCTTCCTTCGGTTTCCGGTATCTGGGACGCCATAACTGGCGGCAACAACGCCCGCGAAGCCATTCAAGCAATTCGCCGTGGAATGTTGCTCTTTAGACAGGTAACGAATGAAAAATAATATTCACGGCTCTCACAAATGATGGGCCCCACCTGATGAATCTCCGGGTACAAACCCCACGAGGTTGAACAGGTGTGCTTTGAAAAATTTGGTCGTCAAGTTTCAATTTTTTTTTTGCCTCTCTCTCTTTTAATGTTGTAGCGGTAGCTTTGGACTTTGGTGCTTTGAATTTATGGCGTGGTGTGTTTGTTTCCTTTTAAGGGTGATGTTTCTGGATCTTTAGTGGAATTCGATAAGGCCATTGAGCTGGACCCTCGTCAAAAGGCATGTAGGTTTGTTTTACACTTTCTGTTTGCAAGATTTCATTGAGTTTTTGTGTGTTTGTGATAAAATCTGAATCGAGCTGTGATGGTTTTACAGATCTTTGGCAAAGAGGGCTTTCACTTTACTATGTTAATAGGTACTACTACAATTTGTTTTTTTTCTCTTTAGTCTTGTTTTGAATTCAGGGAAATGTAAGGAAAGAGTATCTAATTGAAAATTGGAGGCCAGTTAGTTTCATTATGTGAAGTAAAATGGAAGTTTTAATCAGTTCAGAGCCCATATGGCATTGCTCTTGCTTTATCTGTTATGACAACAGAAGAAAAGAAGTTTTAGTTGGAGGGTTCAAGAAACGAACTCAAGTTCAGCTTCAAATCAGTGTTTATTTGTAAAAAAGTAAAAAGAGGTTTGAACCCCTCGATGTGACATATAATAAAAGCGTTTCTAAACCCAAATCCCCCTTGAGTTAAATCAAAGTTTGAACCCAGGCTCAAACCCACTGTTCAAAATCCACATGGTTTGAACCCATCCTGATTTGAACCCCTTTACCAAACTAACAGTGGTTGGAACCACATTTTCTAAAGTGCTTACTGAGACATAAATGATTAAATGTTTTATTAAGGAATAAAAAAAATGTTATAGTGAATATAAAATTTTATTGAAGCTAGGATACTACTTTCAATATCTTCTTAGAAGAGAATTTTTGAGAAGTCTTGTATAATTGGAATATGTTGGGATTGGCGTTAGATTTGAAGAAGGGGCAGAGCAGTTCCGGATAGATGTAGCACAGAACCCGAATGATACAGAGGAGTCCATTTGGTGTTTTATCTGCGAAGCTCAGTTATATGGTGCTGATGAAGCAAGGCGACGATTTCTTGAGGTCAGCAAGTTGGTCTTTCATCTCTGTCGTTAAGGAATTCTGGTCATTACGTACATTTGTGCAGCATATATGTATCAACTTCTGATCAGCTGTTTTTAAACTGAATAGCCAAAGAACAAAATGTAACAAAACTATGCTTACGTTACCTATAAGTATGGTCTTGAGCTATGTAGGATCATAAACACAACTTGGTGAGAATGGAAGAATTCATCCGTAGTTAATAATTTGTAGGGTTCTGTTTTATCGAAATGTTGTGTTCCGGTCAATGCTTTCAGGAACATCACATTTCCCAAGTGTTTTACAAATCGTGTTAAAAACTTGTTATTATCCCTTGGAAGTGTGAAGTGTTCTCCACTTGTAATAAATTGAATAAGTTGAAATGATCAAACAATTATTCTGACCATCAACTAGATAAATGCAGGTTGGAAGAGATCCAAGACCTGTCATGAGGGAAGCTTATAATATGTTTAAAGATGGTGGAGATCCAGAAAAGGTATACAGTAAACTTTTTTCTTTTAGCCATTTCTTACACTACCAAGTTTAATTGATCATATAAAGAGCTGTTGAGTTTGTTTAGTAAGTTACAAGAGCCGGAGTTTATAAGAATACTCAAATGACCAAAGGCCTATTTTTTTTATAACTATATTGTTTAGTAAGTTACAAGAGCCGGACTTTATAAGAATCCTCAAATGACCAAATGCCTATTTTTTATAACTACATACATACATACATATATATATTGTCAGACCCGTATTGAAAAATGTTTACACTAGGAGGGGTAAGAGTGACAAAAAGACTAGAGTTGGGGGAATAATTTCAGAAAGTGGCTAGCCAGGTGACGTGCCAAAAGCAAGTAGGAATCAGGGTATTTGGGGGGCTAGAAAGGGTTAGGGCAGGGGGTCGAATTCCCTTGGTTGTCTCTATATTGTTCCCACCATCGGTGGCTAGGAGTTCCGGAGTACTCGAAATCTCCGGGTCTATCGTGTTAGATTGTCTACTGTAATTGTTGTTGGCCGTTTGAATTCAATAAAAGCTACCCTGATTCCTTTCATTCTTCACGCTGTGCCTCTGTGTGTGTGTGTTTGGCTGTGAATTAACCAGGTTCCTTACAAACTGGTATCAGAGCCGTATGATCCATGGCGCCCAAACCGGCAGATACGGAGAGGCTGGTCGCGGTAGAGAAGGGGCTGACGACGGCGTAGGAAGTGGTGCAATCCCTGACGGCCAAGCAGATCCTGCAGATCTGGGAGGAAATCGGTGGGTTGAGGGAGGAGATGAGAAACTAGATCGGCGGGGTCCACGAGGTACTGCGCCGGCTGGAAGATCTCATGGGTCACCGGCCAGCTCAGCCAGAGAACGCGCCGGAGCAAGGGGAAGTGGTCCTGCGTGACCGAAATGGCCCGAATCTAGGCGATCTGCAATGGGGAGGTCCAGTTGTCGTCGACCCAATTGCAGACGAGGTCGCGCCACCACGGGATGGAGGTCCGGAGGTCAGACGACGGCTGCGCGAGGCGGCGGGGGTGGTTGGACGCGACCTGGACGAGAGAGGAGGGAGGCATGGTCCTGTTTGGCCGCTGGATCTAGGGTGGGAGCACCAAGCCGACCCAGTCAAGGAACCTCCGAGAGAAAGGGGTGGACGCCTAGTTCGGGAACCCAGCCTCAAACGGGGACCCATGGGGGCACGACGGGGTAACCACCTCGACCCTAGAGTAGGGGGAATGGCGGCAGAGTTTGCAGGGTACCTGGCTGCCGAGTTGGGAAAGTTTGGGAGGAGAACGAGGATGAACCTAGGCGGGCCAAGGGTGGACAACCGTGGGATTGGGAGCGGGGACAGCGGCTCGAGATGCCGGAAGGTCAGGGAAAAGGGGAAATACGAGGAAGGAGAGTGGAGATGCCGAGCTTTTCCGGCGAGGACCCTTATGGGTGGCTATTCCGAGCTGAGCAATATTTTGATATGTATGACGTGCGGGAACGGGATAAGGTGGCAGTGGCTTCCATGTGTATGGAAGGGTGAGCTTTAAACTGGTTCAGATGGATTGATTCTTAAGATCCGTTCTGCGAATGGTGGGACTTAAAGGTAGCGATTTTGAAGAGGTTTAGTAGAGCTAAGGAGGGGGATCCGATGGAGAGGCTTATGGCTTTAAGGCAGGTGGGGTCAGTGGCGGACTACCTAGACCGTTTTGAGCTGCTGTCAGAGCCGGGGTGGGGGATGCCGAGTGCTTTTTACAATGGTGTTTTTTGAATGGACTTAGGGAAGATGTGCGCGCCGAGTAGGGGTGTAAATCGGTCGGGTTGAGTCGAAAAATTGAGTTGACCCGATCAGTGCGGGTTGAGAAAACTTTTGGCCGCGACACTCTCTTAAGTCTACAAACTCGCAACCTTTCGAGTGATGTCGGGTTACTCGGGTTGGTGAAAATCAATTTTAATCTATGACTTCATACCTCTTTTAACAGTCTAAAAGCATAAACAACAAGGACATGAAATAAAATATTGAGAAGCAAAATAGTCCATATAAAATAAACAGTTTAATCCTAAATAAACAGTCCATATAAAGATAAACAGTCCATATAAAGATAGTCGCAAAATAGAAAATTTAGTCCACTCCAAATTGTTTAATCCAGAATAATAGCACATTCATTCCCAACTTGCCTCTCATGTGTTGCAACAGAATTTGACAAATTTTGAGAAGAAAACATAACAAAAAAAATTATCAGAATCAAGTTTAGGACAACAAAATAAACAATAAGGAGATGAAATAAAATTTAAAAAAAAATAAGTAAAACATAAAAAGATTACCTGACTCAATATCTTCATATTCATTAAAGTCTTCAACGTCAATTAGGTTGATGTGCTCACGACTACGCAGCCAATTTTGTGTACAAATCAATGCCTCCACCATCTTGCGGCTGAATGAACTCCTAAAGGGATCGAGGATGCGGCCTCCGGTACTAAAAGCAGATTCTGAGGCTACCGTTGAAATAGGAATAACAAGAATGTCTCTTGCAACTAATGAGAGAACATTGTAATTAGTTGCATTATTCTTCTACCAATCTAAAACATCAAAATTTGACCAAGTTGGATCCTCCATAGGGTCTGTCAAGTATCTGTCCACATCATTTTTATACTCATTCACATTCTTCTCTATCATTTTCCTAACAAAGGAGCTCCACAAACACCTTTTCGTTCTACTTCCGTTTTTCTCTTTGTTGTACTTGTTGTTGCCGCCTCCCCACTACTTTCATTAGCCACAGATCCACCCTTGTCCCCACTATAAACCTCATGCAGCCGGTACATAGTATCCTTCACATTCTTTGCTAATGTTTCAGAAGTGCAAGAATTATACACTATAGAGAAACAATATGTCAAATAATTCATTTTGGACCTAAGATCAAGTACAATAGCCACAAAGAGAAGACAATTTATATTCTCAACATTCTCCCAATACTTGTCATACTTGTTTTTCATACTCACAGCCATGGATGAAAGCATTGAATCATCTTGTTTGCTTAATTCAGATAGCTGATTTTGCATCTCACAAAGCTCATGAAAGTAATAATTTGAAGTGACATTCAAAGTGGCACTAAACTTCAAAATTATATCATAAAAAGTCTTCAGAAATTTCACAAACACCTTAACATTCTCCCAATCATCATCAAGTGGCGGGCTAATCTTCCGTTCCCCCCTTCCTCATCTTCCCGAAAATAAGACACAAACTTGTCACCTTACTCTTCATATCTTTCAAATGCTTTTTGAAACTTAATGGCTGCATCTAACATCAAATAGGTAGAGTTCCATCTAGTAGGGACATCTAGGCATACGAGACCTTTGTATTCAATTTTCTCCCGCTCCACACATGACTTAAATTTCAACAACCTAACCGGAGAAGACCTCACATATCTCACAGCGTTACGAATGGCAGCTATGGAATTATGTAGGTCTTTTAAACTTTCATTGACAGTCAAGTTCACTATATGGGCACAATACCTAACATGCAGAAATTTTCCACCTAAAACAACCCATTTCCACCCCTTAATCTTCCTTCTCAAGTAGGTAATCATGGAGTCATTTGAGGAGGCATTATCAACATTCATAGTGAAGACTCTCTCAATACTCCAAGCATGCAAACATGACTCAATGACTTTACCAACACTCTCTCCCTTGTGGCTTTGATAGAAATCAAATTGGAAATCAAATAGAAATTGAAAGAAACAAATGACCTCTGATTCGAGAGTTAGGCCACACCTCTCCAATAATCTCTAATCTACTGCTAATACTTTCCAAAACCTGCATGAGAGACCCTAATCTTCCCCTAGCAACCTTCTTAAACTCAGTCTCCCACTAATGACCTTGTCAATTTACCAAACTGTCCATGTTCTTAAACCTACGCCTATAATACATTTTCAGCCCCTCCCTTCCAAGTCTAACATTACTCCCCTCCCAATGAGACACCTTGTCCTCAAGGTGGAACAAAGGAAATTGCTCTCGAATCGAGTCAAACGGCTCCCATGTAGCTTCATAGTCCGGTAGATCTTTCCACTTGATAAGCACCTCCCTTCCGCCTGACGTTCCTTGACGGACCCCGTCCATTGCCTCTGGTTCCAAGACGACCTCCATGTCCTCAGTCAAAGTAGGCGGCAATGAAGGTGAGGAAGCATGATCTCCAATAGCACGTCTCAACTGGGACACATGAAACACCGGATGAATGGCCGACGTAGGTGGTAATCGCAAACGATATGCCACCTCACCAATGCGCTCTGTGATCTCAAACGGCCCAAAGTACCGAGCAGAAAGCTTCTCATTCCTCCGTCGTGCTAACGTCTTCTGTCGGTATGGTCGGAGTTTCAAATAAACTCAATCCCCCACCTCAAATTGGACATCCCTCCTGTGTCCATCCGCTTGCTGCTCCATAATCTGTTGAGCTTTTAATAAATGTTTCTTCAACTCATCCAACATCCGATCTCGTTCCTCCAAATATTGATCCACCTGCGACATTGGCGTGGTGCGGTGCCCATAGTGCACCAAATGCGGTGGATCCCGCCCATACAGGATCTTAAAGGGGGTAGTCTGCGTCGCCCTATGATAAGAGGTGTTATACCAATACTCCGCCCAAGCCAACCACCTCGCCCAATGCTTAAGTGTGTCAGATACAAAACACCTTAAATATGTCTCCACACTCCGATTAACGACCTCTGATTGGTCATCGGTCTGCGGGTGATAAGCAGTACTCCTCTTCAGAACGGTCAACTGCATCCGAAACAACTCCCTCCAAAAGTGACTCAAAAAGATCTTGTCCCGGTCCGACACTATTGATTCTGGAACACCATGTAGTCACACAACCCCTCTCATAAACGCCGCTGCTACAGACACTGCCGTATAGGGATGTCGGAGGGGTATAAAATGAGCATACTTGCTCAGGCAATCAACCACCACCAAAATCACAGTGTATCCCTCCGACCGAGGTAACCCCTCGATAAAATCCATCGTCACCTCCTC